CGACCTTCGCCGCTGGCTGCTTTTGGGGGACCGAAAGGTTCTTCGTCAAGCGCTTTGGGGACGCCTTGATTTCGCACCAAGTGGGGTACATGGGAGGCACTGAGGCTGACGAGATTACGTACCCGATGGTCAAGAAGGGCGACACCGGGCATGCAGAGGTGCTGCACCTCATTTACAATCCGGACAAAGTCACCTACCAGCAGCTGCTTGACTTTTTTTTCCGCATTCACAACCCAACGACGATGAATCAGCAGGCGGGCGACATCGGCACACAGTACCGCAGCGCCATTTTTTACCACAATGAGCAGCAGTTGCAGGAGGCCAATGAGTACATTTCGAGGCTCAATGGTGCGGACCCGGCGCTTCGTGCCGCCTTTGTGAAGGCCTTTGGAGATGTACAGGTTGTCACCTCGTTGGAGAAGGCGGCACGTTTTTATTCGGCGGAAGAATACCATCAAGAGTACCTGGAGAAGAATGCCAATGGCTACTGTGCGCACCGCTTCTATTGGTGATTTTCTTTGCATGAATTTTTAGCAAAACTTTTCCTCCCTCCTTGCTGTTTCGCTTTACTGTTTTTTTTTTTTTTTTATTCATTGCCTTTGTTCTTGGCTCTCAGCGACGACAGCTGAATATGTCGCTCTACAGCGTTTATCCTGCGTGGCTACAGGCGGGGTTTTTGCTTTTCTTTTGAATTTTGGCGGTGGTGTGGATGTGTTTGGTGACGGTAGCCGTCGTGCGGCCCATCGCGGTGAGTTGAAAAGATACAAGAGGAAGTGGAAAGAGACAACAACTGAAAATCACTAAAAACGCATGGGAGGAGTGCGCAGACATGTTGGGAGTGTGCAGCTGATGGTGTGTCTCTTTTTAACGCCCCTGCTTCTCTATTAATGACTTGGCCTTAGTTTCCAACTGAAGCCGCGTCGAAACCTGGCGTGAGTGCCGCCATTTTATTTATTGTTCGTCCCACCGTCAAACCCCACCGAAACCCTCCGCACGGAAGGGAGTCCGGTGTTTACGGGGAACGCTTCAGACGGACACTTCGTAAGTTCACAACGAGAGCGCGGCTGTTAAAGCTTGTTCCACCTTCTCATTAGGTTACTTATTTATGTGCCTTGAGGGAAACCCACTCAACTTGGGCTGTCGGTTACGCTGAACGAAAATGTGAGCTCTTGATGTTGTACTTGCTCCCCATGAGAAAAGTGAACCAGACTTCATTCAGACGCGTACCGGCTGTTGTCGCGTGTGTGAGCGTGTGTAATTGTTGTTTTTCTTGTCTTCTCTCTCCGGGGATGTAATTCCTTTTGCACGTGTGTTTTCGTTGTTGTTGTTGTTTTTTTTTCTGTTGTTGCTGATTGATGTTTGCTCCCTGTTGCGGGCTTCTACGAGTCCGCGTGTGAGTTGCTGCGTTAGGGCGCAGCGCGGCGAAGTGTGCGTGTGTGTGTGTGTGCCTAACGACGTGCTTCCCTTAACCCTGGCTCATCCTGCGAGATGCCCCTTCAGTGGGTGGACTGCCGCTACCGACGCTCTGTCCCACAGCCACGCCATTAATCTCATGAAGGGCAAAAACGGAAAAAAAAATAGGAAGTCCTTTTGGAGGGCACTGAGGAGGGGGAGGGGGGCTGAGTAGCACTCTTCTGAGTTCGGTAACAACTCAGAAGGGATGTGGGTTCAAGGGAGACAGTAGATATATATATATATATCTAATTCCGCTTGCCCAACTATTAAACCATTTTATGTTTGTTTTTATACCAAGAGCGAGTCTCACAGCAAAAATGATGATTCTTGCTTTGGAAAGGGGATGCAGAACGTTTGTATGTGAGTGGTAATTATTTTATGCCGCGCTGCTTTTTAATTGCTTCTCTAATTTGTTCTTGTGGGAATTTGACAGGTAGGGATATGCTGCAGCAGGCTGTTTCGTACGTTATTTCAGCCTTGGCGAAAGTGGGAGACATTGATGCGAGTAATGTCGAAACGTCACTTGTGAGGCGGACCTTGCGCATTCGGGACATGGTACTTAGACAAGACACCGTTAATGCTTTTCTTCCTTTTCCCATACAATCTGGACGCGTCAACGATCTCCGTGTGGAGCTTCCGTGGCCAACCTCTAACGAACCATTGCTAATATTTTCTGAGGGGATAACTATCACATTGAAGGGTGACGTCCCTAAATTTAACACGAATGAAATGAATAAGGAGGAGATACGAAGTGGTATCACAGAGGAGAGTATTTTTGGAGCCATGGAGGCGCCTTCTGTTGTAGCCAATTTGTTTGAAGGTTGAGGGTGTGATGCGCTGGAGAATCCAGGGGAAGACGTTGAGGAGCATGAGCCGCTGGCGGCAGCGTCAGACGACGATGATTACATGTCCTGTTGCAGCGGCAGTAACGCTTCATTTGCGTCTTGCGAGTCTCAAGGGGAGGGGGCTTCTCTTCCAGAGAATGGATTTGGTTTTTTTCTTTTTTTGTTAATGCTGCCAGTCGTTCTGTGTCGTGGGTGATGACTCGGCCCATTCACGTGCGTCTGCAGAACTTCTCTGCCATGCTGTTTTGTGATTCTCAGTCAGAGGTGGGCTTTGAGCTCACGGCGAGGGAGCTCGTGGTGGAAATTGAGCCCGTCTCAAGGGCAGGTGCGGAGCTTCTGAAGGTAGCCATTGTCACCTTCGCTGGGGTCGCTGTGCATGCACATGCCACCAATGCACAAAAACAAAAAATTGTGGGAGTGAATCATTTCAGTATTCGCATCACCTCTGTTTATAGTTCTATGGGTGTGCTCCGTCGCAGGAATACCGCTATCATCGTTGACGGTGTCACCTCCGTGTTCCTGGACGAAGGCGCACTGCGGGCTCTCACAAGGTGCGCCTTTAGTCATCGGCTCATGATGGAGGTTCCCGACTACTGCCGTCCGTTTCGTAAACTTCTTCAACTGCCTTCGCGTTGGCCTTACGCCAAAAGTTGTGTCTTGGCCTTCATACGGGAGAGACGGAGACGGTACAACTTTAATGCCTCACACCTTCACTTTTATGCGGAGGCCCGCGCCTCGTATCTGGCGCTCTTGGAGTACTGCCATCGCACCCGGGACATCGCGGAAGAGAGGGAAAGTTTGGCGGAAGTGGAGGCGGATATTCGTTACCGTGACGTTGTACAGTTCTTGAGACGCAGGGTGCGAGAGAGGTACTCCTCCACCGCACACAGCAGCGACGCAGGGACGGAGGTGCCGCCGCCAGCACAACACGCAGACGCCGGTGGGCCTGTTATGCTTTCTTCCCTCCACGTGGAGGCGAAAATCACGTGTGTGCATGCTCCTGCTAAAACAACGGTGTGGTTGCGCGAGGTGGCGCTTGTGAGCCGCCACGGTGAGTTCAATTTTTCAGTTGGGCGTGCCACGGTGGATGTGGAAGGAACATCTCAACAATTACAGGCATCGGATGCCGGGCAATCGTTTTTGTCTTTTCAGCGAATCGAAAGCAACGGCACGGTCTTTTTTAGGACTAAACTTGAAGAGTTGAGTTTTACAGCCACGTCTGCGTGGGCTCTGCAGGTTGTGCAGCCCTTTATGGTCGCTGCACCGGACTTTCTGCTGACCATACCACACTCTTGTGACGATTCATCAGCGGCGCCAGCGTCTCCTACGTGGCGTGAGTGCACAACGAGTGTTATTTTTCCTCTGGTGCATATTTGTCTGGACGACTTACAGTTCCACCTGGAGAGGTTGTCTCTGACGTTTGTTGAGCGAAAATCCGGTGCTTCACGTGTGGGTTTTTTGCTGAAGGAATTACATGTGCGTTTTGGGGAAGAAACAGTTGTGCTGTCGCCCATGAAGCTTGAAATGACGCAAGAAGATGACATTGTGGTCTCTGCAGTGAGGTTGAATGTTTCGAATGGGCTGTGGGAATATTTATACCGCCTTCGACGTGGGTGGAGCGAGGCCCTTTTGCAGCTACATAAAATATCGGCCTCTGCAGCAAGGGTGGAAGCTACACAGGGCCGCACACCGACGAGGAGGTCCCTTGCGGGTGTGTGTGGTGTGACCCCATTAAAGAAGGGGTGCCATTTCGTGCCAAACTCACAACGCGTGTGTCTTTTGGGTGCCGAATTCACTTTTGAGCCACTGAGGCTCACCCTGCAGCTAGGACGTGCGGATATCTGGTACGCGGTGGAAAAGGATGGTTTCTCCTCATTGTGCGCCGGTGTGTCTTCATTTGTCTTTACAACCGATTATGTTGATGGAGGTGTGTTGACGGCGTTACTTCCTCACGGTATTCAAGTTTCGACACGAAGTCAAGCAAATGGTGCAGTGAGCGTCGCCGTATCTGTGGGAGAGCTAGAAGTATCATGGAGGGCGTCTACTATGCAACCGTTGCTTCATGTTGTCGGTGCGCAGGCCAATGTCGGTGGAGATGCCATGTGCGGCTCGGCCCAAGAATTTCAACTTTTGGGAGCCGCGACATTTGCCCCAATAAATGTCGTTTACCGCCGCGAGTTACGTTCCATTCCAGCCACCACGCGACCTTATTTGGCGTCGTCTCTGCAGGTCTTTATGTGTCTTGCGGGGGTCTGCATGGACCGACTCGCCTTTCTGGAATTGGACTTGTTAGGAACTTTGCTGGATGGTTACGCCACATTTGTTGTGGACAAAGTTGTTTCTATCAAGGCATATCGACTATTTTTCAGTGGGTTCAGCAATATCGCCTTTTCCGTGTCAGCCTCGTCCTGCCCGGTAACGTTGACCGGAACAGAGGCGGTAATGTGCCGAATTAGCATGCCCCCGGTGACTACAACGAGTATGGGCACCTCCCTGCGGAGTTTTGGAGAACTTCTTCCGGAATTGCGTGAAACATCGCCATTGACGTTGGTCAACACCTGTGAAAAGCTCTTGGCGACGATAAATGTCCCCTGCCTCGAGGTGGAAGTCTTTCACTGCCGTTTCGCCTCCATTCGACTGCGTGGAAATGTTTGCTCCTTCACGGCCACGCTGCCAATCGCGGTCGAAGAGTTTTGGGATGACGATGTGCGCATGATGGAACGGCCCTCCGTTGAACTTGTTGTTCCCTCAATTAAATTAAACGCGGCTGACGTCATCCGGCTGGAGCTGGAGGGAGTCGCATACACCAAGCATTCCGTTTCCTCGCTTGGGGAAAGCGGCGGCGCATTCAGCGACTATGAGGCGGATAGTGACACACCATCTGCAATTTGCGAGGCAACGGCGCATGCAGAGGTAAAGGCTTGGAACATGCATCTCAACGGCCTTCCTGAGGCTGCCATCGTTAGGGACATGCTGGGGCTGTGGCAGGAGCTTGGGTTCATGGTGAACTCGCTTTCTAGGCGGAAGGTGGTTACGTGCGATTTGATGCGCGGTGAGCAGCACGACCTGAGCCGAACCGGGCCTTGGTTCTTTGACGCTCCAGGTAAGGTTGTTTTGGTGGAAACCTGCACTTTTGTTTCGCGTGCTTCAGGAACGCAGATGGTAGTTTGCAGCGGGACCCACGTGTACTTTCGGCATTGTCAATTTTCTCCTTGCTTTCTGCAGGCCATTGCGGCTCAGGACGAAAGTGCCTCATTTGTGTGTGACAGCTGCGTTGAGGTTGCGTTGGGCAGTGACACGACTAGCGTGACCGCCGTGCGTGCAGAGGCAGAGAAGGAAATGTTACAAAAAACTTTAGTCACACTGCATCGTAGTGTCGCATGCATGACGCTGCCTGGTAGGCGCACACTTGCCTTGAGTCTCTCGACGGTGGAACTGCGGTTAGTGAAGTGTCTCAGGAAAACGGTGTGCCAGATGCGCGTGCAACGAGGACGCCTTGGCATCTCTGAAGAGGGGACCACACATGGCCTGATTTCCCGTATGGATTTGGATGTGGACTGGTCTCACGGACATAAGGATGACTATGCAACGCTGAGCTCAGCTGTACGAATAGATGGCGTCAGTATACCCATTTCGCTTTTGTTTGCGGCGCGCAGCCTGCAAAGAGTGTGGAGTTGCAAACCGCCAGTCTCCGGGACTCCAATGCGATACTACTCAATACCCTTGAGCCCACGCAGATTTCCGTTTGCCAAATGGAAGGTGATTTTGACGACCTCCGTTATTCCTGTTGTATTGTGCCTGCCAGGTGGGGCTCCATTTATGCATTTTGTTTTAGCTGCAACTTCCCTGTTGTCCAGAGGGGAAGTGGCAGGGGAGGCCTTTGTGGAGGCGCGGTTAGGGATACAGCAAATCTCCCTGTGGGAGTTCTCATCCCAGGCGCAGGTTCCGCTGTTAAGAGATGTGCTCACCGTGATGGTCGTTGCCCGAACACACGACCTTTCTGCTGCGTCATGTGACGTGTCTGTCTCCCCGTGTGAACTTTATCTCTCCAGCGAGCAAATCAAAGGCGCGGCGTCGCTTTTGGCATTTATTCAGAGCAACGCTGACGATGCTGCGGAGACTGCGGCGCATGCAATGGAGCTGGTGAACCGACTCGGGGTGGAGGTGATTCTGCAGGGCGCTACGCAACAGCTTTGCCTTGGAGACTGTCTGACTTTTGAAAAGAAAACGTTGCCGTTTCCGGATTGTCTCAGACTGGTGGGCGGAAAACACGCGTGGATCGTTTTGAGAGAGGGGTAGTGTCACTTTCCGACGATAGGCGTGCCGGTCTCTTTCATGCTGAAAGCGTGGCCGTTCTTGCAGATGGCGAGCGCGTTCACATTCACACATGTGTTCATTCCGGCACCCTCACGCACCAGGTTACACTTCGGACCGTCTTCCACATCAGGAATTACTTGCCGTACACAATTGTACTCTGTTTAATGAGTAGAGGGGATGCGGTGCTTACGGTCCGTCCGGGAGAGCTCTCTTGTCTTCCGATTGCCCACCTGGACTCCACAGATCTTGCCATGCGTCTGGTGCCGATGGAGGGAGGGCGCGAGTCTCGCGAGGTGCTGCTCTGCGAGGACTCGCCGCGCAAACAGCTTGAAGTGGCAGCCTCACGTGGGGCGGACTCCATTGGTCGTCTCAAGGTGTTTTCCTTTGCAGATGTCTCGGCGTATGTTGATGTGACGTATCATTTAAGGGGTCCCGTGCTCACTATGCTTCTCGCCCCAGCCAGATCTGGCATTCATAATGGCACACGATTTTCCATTCGACTGGTTATTTACATAAATGGTGACGTCGTTGAGGAGGCATGTGTGTGTCCTGACGAGACATTTGTAACGCTCCGACACGACCCATTTGGTCCCCCTGTGGAGTATCTTTTTGAATGCGTCATCTACGGCGAAAGATATGTTGCGAATGAGCGTGTTGACCTTACCATTGTTGACTCATCAGAAGGGGAGTGCATTGTGATGAAGCACGAGGAATTTCCTCGGCGTTACTTTTTTGAACTCAGCATTGAGGCTCGACATGTTGAAGTATTTGGTGGAGTCGCTCAGGTGCATAGTCTGGTGCCACGGTATATATTTGGGCTGGAAAACAACTCACACATGGATGTTGAATTTACATCCGAGGCGGGGGATTCCATTGGCACGTTGGGTGGAACTCCGCTTTCATGCTCCTCTGGACGCAACTTCGCCTATCTCCCGCTTCATGCATCGCTTGTGCTGCATGTGGAAAAGGCAACCTCGTCGGCGTTTGAGGTTAATGAGAGCTTGGAGGAGCAAATGCTTCTTTGTAATGTCCCTGAACAAAACGAAACACGGTGTGGGTCTCACTGTTTTTTCCTTCGCGTTAAAGAGGAGGCAGCTGCGAGGACCATGGAGTTGCTTCCAGCGGTGTTTATTCTCAACATGGATGCTGCTCGAGGTCTTTCGGTGCGGCATACCATCTGTGCTAAGGACACCAGCAGTAGGGGCGAAGAGCAATGGGTGCATCGAGTGGCTTTGCCGGCCGCTGGTGTGCTTCCCTACACCTTTGTTTCATGTTGTGGGTACTTGGACACGTTTGCGTTTTGTTGGGAGGAAAACGGCGGGGCACCTGCGTACTCCGCCCCGGTGGAAATGCCATTTGCTTCAAAAACAGATTGGACTGGTATTGTGCAGTGCGGGCAAACGTATCACATGGTGCAAGTGCGTAAGGAGGGTTCCTGTGACCCCACCACGGTGATAGTAGGTGGGCCGTGCAACAGGCCGTCCTTGACATTGGTAAATTTGACACCCAAGAGCTTCCACGAGGTTGACGCCATGACCGTGTCATCATCTATGCGGCCTGTGACGAATGACGCGGTGTTGCACCTTTCTGAGCAGGAAAAGGAATTCGTGGTGCGTTTGACCCGCAACACCGCTACCGATATTGGTGACGAAGTTACGGCCTTTGTCCGTCCTCATTGGGACGCTGCCACGGTCATTTTGTCTCTTTTTCCGCTGAACGCAACCGTTTTATTGCCCGGTGGCGCATGCTCCGCCGTTAAACCTCAGCTGAAAGGGGAGGTCGAAGACGTTGCAACTGAAATACCAACAACGATTCGGGTGGATGTGAAGGTCTCTCAAGTATCTTTCATGGTTCGGGATGAGAAGGAAAGTTCCGTTCTTTTCACCGTGGAAAGTAGCGAGTTCTGGATGGTGTACCACTCCCTCACGCTGACAGCACAGGGTACAATATCAAATGCGTCCGTTCAAAGCATTTATGAATGCAAGAAATGCCAGGTCCTTAAACCGTTTTGCTTTGATATGACAGTGCGGGATGTGGAGGTGTTGCGCCACACAATATCCGTGTGTGCTGCCCAGCTGAATGTGACGCGGCTAGAGGTGGAATTGTCCGATATTCTTCTGTACCAGTTTGATCAGTTGGCTGCCCATTGCCAAGATTATTCATTGAAGAGGAGTGGGAGGAGGGAAGGGTGTACAGTTGCCAACGCATGTCCAGTGATTGCCGGCCCACACCGCCTTCCGTGTTCGCAGCACAGACGAATTGAACTGGGTTCGGTGGTTATATGTGAGATATGCGTCATTCTCACGTATGACAGGAGTCAGCAACCCCCTACGGATGTGCTCTTCCGCGGTTCCCCGATTGGGAAGTTCATTCCATCGCTGCGCCGTGCCACACTGAGGCTGCCTACTGTACGTTTTCGGGATATCTCTAGAGAAACTTTGATGGACGTATGCGGCATGGTGCAGGAGGTAATGTTTTTTGAGTTTTTGAAGCAACTTCCAAGCTTTGTTTCGAGTGCTGTCTTGTTCCCGACGCTGTCTCCAGTTGGCAGCATTTTGGCGCGCGTGGGGTCATTTATATTTGGCTCTAGCGGCGCCGCCTCTGAACTACCAGGCGCCACGCTGATTTGACGGAACGGAAGGAGAAGCGCCGAGGCAACCCCGAAAGCCGCCGATGAGTACTACTCTCCTGACACACACACACACACACACACACACACACACGCAGTTACCATTCATTTGCGGAGTGGGGTAGCCGCAATTTCCGTACAGAGGCCACTTGTTTGAGAAGAGCTGAGCGAAATGTCTTGGACCCTTAAGGGAGGCGTCGGTGCCTTTAATATCGCATTTGCCGTTCCTCTACACACGTCCTACTTTTCGATGCAGAAAGAGGGGGAAATCTTATTTTCCAATCCTGGGTCTGCTGTGCCTCCTAAAAGATGTCTCACGCGGCACCTCCGTGCATGTGCAATGAGCTCGCTTGGGGTGCGTAAAGTCGCCCCCATTAAATGAAAAATGGTGGCAGAGATTACCTGCTAGCGGCGACAAATGTGCCTTAGGCAGCCGTTTTTTATATGTTTTTTTTTTGAACAGTTGGTATCTGATGTTTGTGTGTGGGCAGGTTGCAACGTTTTTGTTTGCGTTATAGCGACTCGTGGGCTTTTTGTCAGTGCTTCTTTTTTTTTTTTTTGTATGCTTGGCAATGCGGCCACTGCACGGGTGCGGCACGACGGGGCGATAGGACTTGTTGAGCGCACTGGCATGTGCACTTATTTGGCAAACAAAAGATAATGAAAATGTTTGTATCTTTGATGAACCCATTTTTTAAAAATGTGCTTAACTGCCCCTGGAGCTGAGGAGGCTGAGGGAGGGAGAGGGGAGGCGGGGTGTTGGGCGTGCCGCGGTGCTTTGAGTTACAGCAGTTGTGCGTGTGGCAGCTGCAGCGTTTTGTACAGTTGAGGACGCATGCTGCTCTTTTTTTTTTTTTTTGAGCTGCCGGTGGCCTTTCGGGGCGGCTGCAAGAGACCAAAATAAGCGAGGCGCCGGATGGGTAAAAAGCGGTGATGAGGGCGGGTACTCAGCGGGTCCGTTTCCGTCGCCGCCGTCGGTTGCGTCGCGTGGACGCTTCTGGCGCTGAGCATTTGGCCCAGCGCGAACTGGTCGAAGCCGCGGGGCTGCTGCGTCAGGCAAGTCGGCGGCGGCATCCTGCTCATTTTCCAATTCACCCTCATGCACGTCCTGAAGGGCAAAAAACCGGACTTTCACCTGGCGATGGGCTCCGAGCGTGCGCCGGAGATGTTCCACTGCTTGCGTGACGCCCTCGCGAGGGACTGCGCGGAGGAACGAGTCGCAACGGGACGGTTTCAGTCGTGCATGCGTGTCAACCTGTTGAACGATGGCCTAGTAGGAATTATTCTGGGCAGTCGGAGCAGACAGTGATGCCCTGTTGGGCGCTGCAGCGCGACGGCGTCCGGTTGCATTGCAATGCGTATGCCTGCCGCCTTGCGATGGGTCACCCGCCTCCCTGAATGAGGCTGGAAATTTGTCCTGGCCGCACTTTTTTTTTCCTTTTCTTGTCCTTGTCCTTGCCCTTGTCCTCTCTGCGCCCTGAAGAAAGCGAGGTAAAAATCAAAGCGACATGAAATTACATCATCAGTGAAGTACACTTCCGCGGACGACTTCATCAACAAGTGCGTGGAGAGGCACGATGCATATCAGCCCGAGTTTGTGCAGGCGGTCCGTGAAGTGATGGCCTCACTCTGGCCCTTCCTGGAGAGGCAACCAGAGGGAGAAGGAAAAGGAGGAGGGGAATAAACAGCTTGAGTTTACTGGTGAAGTATTTTAGGGAGTATGATATATTCCCGAGTGTGTTTGTGTGTGGGTAGGAGGCGCACTTAGGGACTCGCTCTGCCGTGCGCCAAGTGATTATTATGGCCAGCGCTACCACAGCAGCACTTTTTTTTGTTGTGGTTGTGTTGTGGTTGCGAGTAAAATTGCGTGGGGAATGATGGCGCCTTGTGGGTGTACGCCGGCAGTATTCCATTGGTGATATCCCCTCGCTGTTCCCAGTTTGTTGCTGCAGAGAGTTTGGGCGAGAGGGTAAGTTTT